TTTTCCTCCAGGAAAGTAAGATTTTTTTTTAATTTTTATTGTTTTAAGTCTTATTGAATGACCCAGGTTAAAGAATTCTTAACTTTCACTCTGGGATTATAGGCACAAGCTAATTAACTCAGTTTGACATTTGCAGCTTATTGATTAACTGCAAGGTTAGTTATTCCTGGGAAAAGGAACTAAGTATCTCCAGTATTTTTTTATTGAAAAATCCAAATGGTATTTGACATAGTTCTTTTTACAACTAGAGAGTTAAAACAAACAAACAAACAAACAACACTGCATGTGTGTGTGTTTATGTGTATGTTTGTGTCTATACATGTGGAGGTTAGAAGGTAACTTGTGGGAACTATCTCTCTCCTTCTACCATGTGGATCCTGGGATTGAACACAGGTTCTCGGGCTTGGTAGCAGTCACCGTACCCAACTGAGCCATTTCTCAGGTCCTAAAACCAACATCTTAAAATTATTTACAGAACTCAAAGAACTCAAGTACATCTGAGAGTCTTTGGATGATATCACAGTATAGACCAAGAATTTGCTAATCTTACTCCCTGACTGAAAATAAAATAATCTTAACTGGCTCAGAAATCATGTGGTTGTTTGTTTGTTTGTTTGTTTTTAACCTTAAAACCTACAAGGACTACATAGAAGACAAAAGCTGATCAGTGCCTCCAGGCAAATCCAGTAGAGGAGAAAGCAAAACACAGGCTCTGGGAGCTGGAGCCCACTCAGCATGAAGACTTACTGCCTTTGCTTCTCCCTTACCTCTCTAGAAAAGCTTTGTGCATTCAAATTCTTCACTAAATGGACTCTGCTGGTGGAAGTTTCCCATCTTCTTTGATTTCTGTCTTTCCAAATCTCTTTTCTGCCTTGAATCACTGGGGAGCAGCCAGACCTGGATTAAGCAACAGCACCAATTACTTTCAAAAGAATGTATTTGTTAGCAGTAGGAACCTCTGCGGCAGCACAAAAAGTACAAAGTTCTGTGTTCACAGATAAATAAAAGGCTATACACATCATATTTGAGAGGGATAAACTCTACCCATCTACTTCACTCTATCCCCAATCAGGAGCTTCACAGAAACAGCATGAATAGTGACAAAAGTAGTGGCAATATTACATGAATTGGTGTGACCATATAAAAAGTAACATGAAATATATTAAGGCACAAAAATCAGCTATTACCATTTGCCAATTTTTTCCTCTAGTAAAATAAATTTTATCTTTCCATTTAGGAATGTGGCATGTATAAATAACATGGCATAAAGCAGCTGAACTGGTTCCTAAGGCGGAGCTGCATAGTGAGGGTGGCAGAAGGGTAGAAATATGGGTCTCTGACATGTAGGTACAACACAGGCACCTGAATACCTCATCTTTTACATTAGAAAGAAGACTGTTTATCCTTAAAGGCCACACTCACTCTTTAGTAACTTTATAATGATAGGCAAATTCTATCTTAATTTTAAAAATTCTAATTAAGAAATGTAGGATTTGTTATGAATACCACGGCATATAATTGTTTCACTGAGACAAGTCTCAATACTGGAACTTTCTGACTCAGTCTCCCTGCACTGCTACACCCAAGGATAAGATGTTGAATTTAGAGTGAAGAGAACAGAAAGACAAAAGAAAAAGCCATTACAGGAATTGCAACTATAGACAGGTTATTAAGTTGGACGAAAGGAAAATCTGATTTTCAATGTGAGCCATATAGAAGATACCCACATCAATAATCAAGATAATATAGGAAACATGAGGGAAGTATACACATATTTAGATCTGTTAAGACTATCAGAAATGAGAGGCTGGAGAGATGGCTCAGGAGTTAAGGAGCACTGTTCTTCCAGAGGACCCAGGTTCAATTCCTAGCACCCACATGGCAGCTCAGAACTGTCTGTAACTTCAATATCTGACACCCTCACACAGACATACATGCAGGCAAAACACTAATGCACATAAGATAAAAGTAAATAAATTAAAGCAAAAACAAAACAAAGAAAAAACACAAAGACTATCAGAAATGTGTCTTTAGTGCTCAAGTAAAAATTTGATATATAGGTCTCACTTGTATAAAAATGCTAATTTAAGCAATAGGAACAAATGAGACTGTGAATACTGAAGTTAAAGGTTGGCCAGGAAAGGATCCCAATATCCTTTAACAAAAGTAAACAAAGCAACAGGATGACAAAGACTTCCCAGGAAGCCCTATATTTAATCCCTGGTATCTAGAGGGATGGACACAAGGCAACTGGAGGAGGCTGAGGAAGAGAGACCAAGTGCTTGCCTAGCATGTTCAGGGCCCCGACCTTGACCCTAAGCAAGCGCAGTGAGAGACCGAGCGAAAGGAGATCATATATGCTTCTAAAACTTGTTTTTTTTAACCTAAGCAATCTCGAGTCCAAATAACCCATCATGTAGAGCACACTGGTTTATGGGAGTTCTCCTGACACTTTAATCATTTGGGTGGTGGGTACTGAAACCAGGATTCTCTTGCATGCTCAGCACATGCTCTATCAATGAGCCAGACTCGCTGCCCCTTAAAATTATTCTTAAAGGGCTAGACATACCAAATAAGAATTGAGTCTATAAAAAATACCATTTGGAGAACAATTTGAATTTCCATAAGCATCTGTATACTATATTTTAATTTGGCACATTTACTATCTACTTTTAGTTTCAATTAATATAATCCATTATGGGGACAAACAGTGCAACTAAAAATAAAAACTTACAAGGTCTAAAGGTCAAAATGACCAATGCTTTTTGTGACAGTCATCCAATCAACAAACTCTTAACATCTTAACGACCTGTCTCACACCTCAATTTTCACATGCTCTAGCCTTTGTCTCAAACCTTCCTGCAAACTAAGAAGACCACTGGCACAGCAAGGAGGAATTTAGACTTTTCTCCCACCACTGCCCTCAACAAATCTAGAGATAAACACATTTTCCTTTACCAAAACTGTTTCCTAATACTTTTGAAAACTGGAATTGTAAGTCAGTGGGTTCATGGACCAGTAACAGTAATATAAACTGTGATCACCAACTCATACAACTCATAAAAGTATGTCACCCTTTTTGTTCCAGAAAAATTTAGTATGGGTTGTGGCTTTAAAAAGTAAGAGAGTCTGCTGGGCAGTGGTGGCACATGCCTTTAATCCCAGCACTTGGGAGGCAGAGGCAGGTGGATTTCTGAGTTTGAGGGCAGCCTGGTCTACAGAGTGAGTCCCAGGACAGCCAGGGCTACACAGAGAAATCCTGTCTTGAAAAACAAACAAACAAAAACAAAAACAAAACAAAAAAAAGTAAGAGAGTCAACTTTTTGTGTGTTTGCTGCTTGTGTTTGGTTTTCTGTCACAAAATATCCCCTCCTTCCCTGTTGACTCAGAGGAATCACAAGTTAACCTTGAATAACTGAAGTTATCCAACCTTGAAAGAAACTAAAGTGAAGATACTGAGGTTAAGTCTCAGGTTCTCGAGTTTATCAAAACTGTTAAAAGTTAATCACAAAATATTTGTCTCTAAGAGGCTAGATTTTCAGATCTGGCAGCTTCTTTCAAATGAAAAACAACGAATGCTTTCTACTTCCTTTACTATTTAATTTTTTTCAAGAGAAAGGGGAAAGTACAGTGTCTTGCTTTTCCCAGCCTTGCAGCAAACTAAAACACCCTCCTTAAATAATTTTCTGCTCCATAAAGCCAGCCAGCAGAGATAGCATAACAGATCCAGAAATTTACAAAGCTGTCATGGTTTTTTTTATTTGGTTTATTTTGCCTACGTGCATAAAACATATTCGATGTGTAAAATTTAATGTGAAGGTTCATAATTTCCTTTCCAAATGTCAATTTTAATTGCATAGATGTCTTCATTGAGTTGTATTGTTTTGGGGTTTGGTTAATTTTGGTGTGGTGTTTTTTATTTATTTGCAAAGTTTTTTAAAAATAAATTTTAAAATGTTAAAAATATGTTAAGAGAAATTTACAAAGATATTCAGCACCTCTGAAACAAGGGCAAGGGTGTGGCGCTCGGTAAAACCAGAACTTGAGCAGTGGCAGAAAGATACGGTTAGGTTTAGCCTGAGCTACATACCTAATTTGAAGTGAATCTGGAGTATACAAGATTCTGTCCCATAACAAAACACTAGTTCACGTCCCGCTTCTGCGGACCAACCCTTTTTAGTTTTGTTCTCTTTTTTTTAAGTCACTGAAGGAATGCTGGCTGTCGCTTATGAATGAAACAACTCTCAAACAACCTGATATTCATTATGCCAAGGGATGACTTTAGTCTAAAGGGCCATTCCCAAGAACTCTCGAGAAGAGTTACAATTCAGCAACCCGTCCCTGGCAATTTACAAAAAAGAGAAAGGCTCTCTATCAAGCCGGAGGCAGTTGTCAAGACATCCCCTTCTCCCTTCCACGACTGGCTTTTCGTTCTGAATCCCGCAGCCAGTCTCCTTTAATCATGAGAGGGGTCCACGGTGGGAATCTTCGCGCCACAAACAGTGCTGAGAAACTCTCGGAAGCCAAGGCATCAAGGTGAAGACATGAAAGCCCGCAGCCGCACCAGACCTCTAACGACCAGCAAAGCCAAGCCGGGGCTACCACCACGCCTGCCTTTCAAACCCAGGGAGGAGACTCCGACCGAGAAAACTCCCCTGCTAGGAAAGTCTCCTCGTCACCCCACGGGACTCTCCTTCCAGAGCTAGTAGCTCCACACACACTTCTAAAGCCGGAAAAGGCCGGCTGTGGCCACACACAAGATGGCAGCCACACACCTACCGAGAAGAGCGCTGCGCCACCACTCCAGCGAAGCGCCTCTCTAGACTGCGGAGAGCCCGATTGGCCGAAGCAGTTAGCGCGAGACAGGCCGAGAGAGCCGCTGACCAATCAGGAGGAAAGCGCGCGGAGCTTCCGAATCGTTGAGCGGCAGTGGCTGCAGCCAATGGGCGTCTGAGCTGGCTCAATGAGGGCGGAGCGTGCCGTGGGCCGGTGTTTTCCCGAGCTGAGGTGAGGGCGCCTCAAGACTGCAGGTGGAAACTGCAGGGCGCGCGGGGTACCAGCCCACCTCAACCCGCTATCCTGGTAGCGGAGGTGGCCGGGGCTTTCCGCTGCGCTTCTCCTTCTGTCTTGCGGCGCTCACTTCCGTGACTGGTGGTTCCTGAGTAATTTGGCTATAATGGATTACAGGCAGTGGAGCACAGCATACATCTCAGGACACTGGTCCATTCCACAGGTAAGTTTACACTGGCCATGAACAAATGAAATTATTTATCAGTTGAAGTTGGTTGGAATCTTAGGAGCGACGGACTGACTCACCACTCACAGTCCAAGATCAGTAAAGTCAGTGCACAAAGGTATATGATTGACAGATCTCTGGCATGTAGTAACTTATGGCTCTCTGTATGTTAATGAAGAAAACCAAAGTGGCGGATTAATTTATGTTTAGTCTTAGATTGGGTATACAGACCATAACCTCTTAAAACTAGGCTGCCACATACAATAGGACATGTTTCTATTCTTTAGAAGCCGTTTTCCCATTATTGTGTGGGATAAAAAGAACACATGGAATAATTAAAATGTGCCTGGCCCCTGACTTAGACTCTGTAAATGGCATGCTATCAAAGAACCAAGGAGATAGCGGTCTTAGCCTTTTTAGTTCCCCCCCCCCCCAAGTAAAAAGGAAACTTAGATCTAAATGAAGTTGGCTGGGTGTTTTTTTTTTTTTGGTTGTTGTTTCTGTTTGTTTGTTTGTTTGTTTGTTTTGTTTTTTGCCAGATGAAAACTTGAGACTGAAAAAGAACCAAATTTAAATAAAATTTTACTGACAAGCTGGGAGGTGGTGGGACAAGCCTTTAATCTCATCACTGGGGAGGCAGAGGCTAGTGGATCTTAGTTCTCTCCTGACTGAGTTCCAGGACAGCCAGGGTTACACAGAGAAATGTTATCTCAAAATACAAAACAAACAAATAAAAAGTACACTGACAGTGAAATATTAGTCTTGTTTTTTGAAAGATAAGCTTGTGGTTTAAATTCTCTTAACTTTTTTGTTTTTTGACAAATGTTTTTCTTTTGTAAATTAGCTTTCAAGCTACACTGGTGAGAGCTTTTTCTTTAGTTTGTTGTTTGCTATGTGGAAATCTAGCCTAGTAGTTCAGGATTACCTTGAACTACTGGTACTCCTGTCCTTACCTGTGCTTTCCTGAGATGTCAGGCTGCGAGTGGGTGTACTGAGGTGGAAGTTACTAGAACCGTGTTGGAAGGCAGCTTGGCAATGTCTCTTTGTGGCACCCGGATATCTGTAGACCTAATTTACAATGGAAAGGTGGATTGGCTGAAATACAGTTTACGGTGTATATTTACCTTTTAACAGTTTGCATTTCTGGTGAGTCTCATTACCGGTGGGATACATACTTCTTTTTGTTAACAGATTTTCAAGTTTCTAAGCATGTTTGGTATTCTGAAGTATATCACAGTTGGTGGTCTATGGCAAGCATGTTCTGGGCTGAAACTGTAGCTCAGTCAGAATACTTGCCTTGTTTGTACAAAGCCCTGGTTTGGAACTTGAGCACCATGTACGTCCAATGTGGTGGCACATGCAATTGATCCCAGTACAAGGGATCAGAAGTTTAAGGCCAGAGAAAAGGATCCCAGGCAAAAGGATCAGAAATTTAAGGCCATACTCAGTGTCATAGCCAGGTCAAGGCCAGCCTTTCTCAAGAGGAAAAAACTAGAAAAATTGTATTCTACTTGGCACTCAGTGGACAAGAGCTTATGTTTTTTCCTGTTTTGAGAAATTCTTGGTCATTATCACCTCATTCCTTTATTTTCCCCATAAATGACAAGGTATGATTTTCTAGAGTACCAAGTGGCTTTTCTCATGAGTCTGTTGTCTTATTTTCACCTAATCAGTATATTTGAAGAACTGTTTTTATATCCATGATCCTTAATTGGTTATTTTTCAGAATTGTATATTTCTTTAGCCCTGTGAGGATCAAATATATTCACATTTGTTTTAAAATATTTGATTCTCAGCAGTTTAGTGTGCTTGTTACTTCTTATTCATAATGTAGCTTTCTTCGTGTATTTCAGAGCCTTCATCTCCTTGGGGATTTCCCTGCCATCCTTTGTGTTATGCTGTTGATTGGCATTATCTTGAGTTCCTCATGTTTCATTTCCTCAGAGACCTCACAAACTGTCTGTTGAGAGTTCCCTTTTAGTTTTAAACATGACTCTATATAGTGTTTTAAAACCTTCTAATGTTCTTCTGATTTATGGTGTGGAAAAGACAGAAAAGTTTACCATGTATTGACTAACACTTTGATAATTCAAAAAATTTTATTAGTTCTGCCAGTAGATATATATCCTAAGGAAATAATCAGAAAAAAATGCATAAAATGTTTGTTCCAGTATTATGTATAACAATTTAAAAATATACAAAACTTTATACCAACAATTAATAACTTTAAAAAATTTATTAAAGCTTTCAATGTATGATTATTGTCCAAAGTATATAATGTAGCCATTTAGTTATAGAAAGATAATAGTGATTGGGGAGAGAATAGACTATATTATTGTGAGCATGGAAAAGGCATATACACTAAAATCTAAAATTTTTATAATTATGAACTGAGAGGATAATTGCTACCATTTATGGAATTCTTCCTGTGTCATATATCATTTTAAATGATAATCTTATCCTCATAACAATATATAAGGTAGTTACCATTATTCCTATTTTTTAAAGTTTCCATGATATATTAAGGTAAGGTTTGTTGGTTGGTAATGCAATGTAAGTGTTAACATGTCAAATATGGATGATAGGATTATGAGTTATTCTTTTCGGTATTTTTCCTAGTTCTGTAGATTTTTCCAGTTAATGTATATTTTTTCATAGTGCTTTGTATTCTTTTTTAAAGATAGAGTTGTTGTTATGACAGCATCTTTTCTTCTTTTTATTTTTTCTTTATAAGTATGCACTCTTCTTTGTTTTTGCTCCAGAGTGTTTCATGCATTTGTGGACCAAAACATGGGATGAACTTTTATTTTTAAAACGGCATTGTCAGTAGTCCTGATTCATCTTTCAACCTGACATTGATGAAGATGCTGTACCTGTTTTTCTTGGACTAGTAATCATTCTGAAAGTCTATTCAAGCACAGTTTCTATTTGAAAACTTAAATACTAAAGAATCTTAGGAAGTAGCCTGGAGACATACCCTATTTGAGGACTTCAGATTTCATAGAGACTGCAGTTGGACCCTAGTTATTCTCCAATCAAAGTGGTTCTTTTGATTAACTTAATTTTGAAGAATTATAAATAAGCAACACCAAAAGATGGAAGAAAAAAATGGTAGGTCAAAGAACTCATTTTTAAACATTGTATTTAAATGTTTATACACATTTATTCTAAATTGCTGAATTTCAGTGGTTTTCACTCTCAGTGATTTCTTTTTCTTCCTTGTACCCCTTCCTTGTGTGGGGAGCTAGCACAGGCTGGAATGGTTTGAAGTAAGTGGGGCACAGAGTTGAATGTAGAGGTAGCTGTGAAGGCTGATGCTCTCTGGCTTTCTAGATCTTTATCTATACTGAGTGCCTACTGAGAACTTCTGAAAAATAAGCACTTTCTTGTTATTTTGTGATTAAAAACTACTGGCTTGGGCTATTAACACCTGTTGCCTAGCAGCAGGGAATTAAGTAAAAATACTCATTGCTATAGCTCCTCTCTCTGGCCCAGGAGCCTCTCTGGGTAGGCTGGTTAACTCTTTGTGAACCAGAGAGGAAGAAAAGGAAAAGAACTAAAATCTTTTATATAGGCAAAATGCACAGAGACATATACGTTCATACACACATCTATGTTTTCATTTACACATTAACAGAGTCACGAGCCTAACCACCTGTCTTATATACTCTACAAGTATTTGTGCATGTTCACACACACATGGAGAGAGAGAGACAGACAGACAGACGGATGGATGGATGGATGGATGGATGGATGGGTGGATGAGTCAGAGCTACCCAAGCCATACTACTCAACCAACAACTTTCTTTTCCCTAGCCTTTTTATACCTTTTTAGACAAAAAGTTCTTTAGAAAATTACCTCAGAGATAAAATGTTACATAAAATGGGAGTTACAGAAGGATGTGGACTGTAAGTTCAAAGTAGTGTTTCATTATACTATACCTCATTAAAAGTTCAAAGCAACAGTTCTTTACATGGCCTTGCCTTATCCTACTGCACACTTGTGGCTTTATCCTTGGATTCAAATGTTTTTCCTTGAAGAATACAAACTTGTTCCAAATCTATTTCTCTTTTTAGTGTGATTATGAAAGCTCATTGTATTTCTTATTATGCAGCCTTTACTTACTATTATGAGGAGTTAGCACATTCTATTCTTGATTCTAAGTTTATTACATCTTTCTAGCAAAGCAACTAAGGCCATCTATTAAAACGGTCTACCTGAAATTTTTTGAATCAAATCAGGAATTCTGTAGAATTATTAATTCATCTAAATAGGATTAATTCATGAAAGTTCCTCTTTATATTGATCTGCAGGAAATCTGATCAATATAGTGTAGGCTAATGCCCAGGGATTTTTATATTAATTTAATAATGACAGGAAAGGCATATCAGCTTCAAGAAGCAACCCTGAGATGAAGTCTCTTTGGGACCTTGCCATGGAGCTCACTTATCACAGACCATGCAGAAAACAGTGGGCCACCTCCAAGAAGGCCACCTGCTAGCCTTAGCCTATTCTAAATGGTTCCTGACATTGTTGTGTGTGTGTTATATATACGCATTTGTGTGCAGATGCCTAAGCTTGTGGATTTCAGATGTCAGGAATGGGTATCTGCTTAGTTGTTCATTGTTATATATATAGACAGTTTCAATGTTTTCTTTGATTGCTGTTGTTTTCTTAAGTTTATTAATTTGTGTGTGGTATAGTGGGAATGGAACCCATTTCCCAGTTAACGCTCATTATGCTTCACTGAGCATAGCCTAAACTCCTGTTTTCTTAAATTGTATTGCTAGTCTCTTTATTAATCAGCTCTAAGACTAAGCAGCTACTCTGACTTTTTGTTTCAAGTATTTTCTTTCAGAGCAATTCAGTGAAAACGTGTTAGCATTTTTAGTAATATTCCACTTGATACACAATCAAACAAACCAGTGGATTTTGATCAGTGCCTTTGGGCATCACTGCCTCTGTTCTCAGGCTATGACAAAGTTGTATGTAATTCCAGAAAATTTTGATGCTACAAAAGCTATTTTTATTTTTTCTGGATTTTTTCTTAAATGTTTAATCGTAACTATTTATAGGGAACATATAATATGTGAATGCAGGTGTACATTGGCAAATGCTCAGATTTGGGTTCCAATAACTTTTTTATTTCATTTTTCAAATATTTATTATTTCATTTTGATGGAAACATTTTTTTAAAACTCCTCTTAGAGCTTTTAAAAACATAGTGTATAACCTCTAGTCACCCTGTTGTACTGGAGAATTCCAGAACTGTAACTTGGTTGGCTCACCAGCCTCTCCTCATCCCTCCCACTGCCCCCGACCTGTGAATAGCCACTGTTCTGTTCTTAGCTTCTGTAAGATCAGCTGTCTCATAACGTGCACGAGTTTGAACATGTCCTTCTCATCTTTTTGTTTCTGACTCACTTTACTTTGCATAATTATACCCTTCAGTTTTTATCATATGGCTAAATAGTATCCATCGTACATATATACTTTATTTTTTTAAGCAGTTTTTAAATATTTCTAAGTCCTTCCTCTAATATGGGCAAATCCCTAATGTGGAGATTTACACCCCCAGCCCCAGTTTCTTATATATTTTTAAATTTAGCCACAGTGTGTGAGACACCTGGGTCTTGTTCTTGATGTCTAAATCTTTGTAAGGAAATATGATCTAAATCTTTTTTCTTTTTCCTCAAGGAAAGTGTTAGACCAATTGAATCATATAGTAAACTTAGTTAGGGTTTCCATTACTGCAACAGATCACCATGAGTGATATGATTTGTGTTTTGTTATTGTGTAACTCAACTCTAGTGTTCTCACATGTGAACTTTGTAGATGATTCTATATTGCAATGTCAAAATGCTGGACACACCCAGCGGATCTCTAAAAGACCAATTGAATCTTATTCTTAATCTTTGTTTAGAAATGATATGATTTTTTCTGTAACTTATGCCTTAAGGAAATGGGTGCATTTTTATTAAAATCTTAGGTGATGCAAAGGCTTTCTGGATGGAGCTACAAGATGATGGTAAAGTTGACTTTATGTTTGAGAAAACTCAAGATGTCCTACATTCACTGAAACAGAAGATAAAAGATGGGTCTGCCACAGATGGAGGTATGAAAAATGAAGACTTCTAATACTTCCTACTGTTATATACTGGAAATGCAGTATAATGCTACTGCTGACTATTATAAATAACAAATAAGTACTTTTCTAAGGCCCTAATGTGAATTTTATCTGCTTTATGTATTATAAACTTGCTTTTCCCATATGTGGTGGTGTGTATATGCTTGTCTCAGGGAGTGGTACTATTAGGAGGTATGGTCTTGTTGGAGGAAGTATGTCACATGGGGGTGGGCTTGAGACCTACCTCCTAGCTTCCTGGAAGACAGTCTGCTCCTGGCTTCCTTTGGTTGAAGATGTAGAGCTCTCAGCTCCTCCCGTGCCATGCCTGCCTAGGTGCTGCTGTGTTTCCTGTCATGAGATGGACTGAACTTATAAACCTATAAGCCAGCCCCAATTAAATATTGTCCTTTATAAGAGTTGCCTTGGTTATGGTGTCTCTTCATAGCCATGGAAACCCTAACTAAGACAGCATACATCTTATGAAGTGGATAAACCTGGGTTTTGTAAATGATAGTTACTGAAGGACGCCTTCACCATGTGTGCCCTAGAACTCCTCTTAAGCATTGGCCTTAAGCACTCTTCCTTCTTTAGCCTCCCACGGGGCTGAAATTAGGCAACGATTTTCTCCTCTGTTTATACTTTTTCCTTTTATACTTTCATGCCTGAAGAGGAGGGGGAAAATGTTGCATAAGTAATACCTGCTTCTTGTATAATGTTGGCATAAATAGGAAAACGCAACAGAATTGTGTTTGCTCCATCATTTAGACAGCTGGTGTAGATATGACTCATTAATGGTAGAAGTCATGACCTGCATGTGTGAAGCCCTAGGTTCTGTCCCAGCATACAACAGCATAAAAATTTCCTGTCTCAAACAGAACTTAATATACTAATTTTGAAAGCAAAATTTTAGTTTTTTGTTTTTCTGTGAGTTTTCAACTCTAGTTGTTTGGAACATGGGGCTCTAAATTTAAGATCTTCCTCTGGATCATTAGGATACAGGCTTGCAAAGCAAAGCTGTTCCCAACTGTTAATACTTTTGGGTGCTCTCACCATGTGGTCTGTAGCCCTTGATATTCTGAAACCCAGAAGATGGCTGGGGACTAGTGGTGGGAGGGGTTGTTGTTTTTATCTTTGGATTTGTTTGTTTGTTTGTTTACAGGTTTTTTAAAGTGGGTAGAGAAGAATTCTTTTTTCTCTGCCTACTCTGAAACGGGTGTATAATTATGTTGGAGAAATGAGATAAAGTCAGCAAATAATGCATTTATTTTAGCTGACGTACAGGTTAAAAACTTCTTTGGGAGCAAGTTCCTCCTGTCACTGCCAGAGGCTTTTTCTCTCAGCATGGAATCTCTGTTATACTATACTATGCTTATGACATTTCAGACACTCAGGATAATTTATTGGGTTTTTCTTCTTTAAGAAACTTTAAAAATTTTGAAGATTATTTCTTAATCTTTCGTGAGTGAGATGGATGTAAGTTTGAATACAGTTCTATCAGCTTTAGTTAATTGACCTAAATAGCCGGCTTCCAGACCTCATTTCCTTTGGTCTCTGTCACAGATGATAGGCTTTTTTCAGAGAGTTATAAAGATTGAGTGTCAGTTGTTTAGTACTGGAGTTTGGTAACCTGAATGGAAGTGATGATTGTGTTTATCTTCCTCTCTCTCTCTCTCTCTCTCTCTCTCTCTCTCTCTCTCTCTCTCTCTCTCTCTCTCTCTTTCTTTAACAGACTATGTCCAAGCAATGATTCTAGTAAATGAAGCAACTCTGAGTAACAGTCAAACACTGGAAAACGGTATGTTCATTATTTACTCCAATCCTGGTAATTTTTTTGTTCTTTCCTTGCCAACCTTACTTGAGACAACACATAAGATCTCTATTGCTAAGTATTAATGAGCCACAGTTTCCTTTATGAAAAGTCCTACCCCTCCAGAGATAGGGAACACATTCCTACGAAACCCTAAGAAGAATGAAAGTTTATGTCTTTTCTTTATAAAGCATCATGTAAAAAGGGCAGATAGAATTCTAAGAGTCTAAAGCATTGTAAACCTGGTTTCTGTAAAGAGCACTGTTAGGATGGTACATTCCATTATAGATGAGTTGATGGTTTTGTTTGTTTGTTTGTTTGGTTGGTTGGTTAGTTAGGTTTTTGTTTTTTTTTTTTTTTAGCTTGGTTTGAAACCTTCAGTTTTCTAAGGACTAAATGTGTTTGGTTTAAAAGATCAAAGATAACAAAGAAAACTTTATAAAACTTCTGATATTAGATGTGTATTTTTCACAGCAAGCAAGTTTCCAGTTTAAAAAATATAACTCCCTGTGAGATGTCACATGTTAAGTAGTCAGTATCCCAAGACTTATCCTTACTTGAAATGTCAGTCACAAACCCTAGGCCTCTGTTACTTCTGGCTGACTTGGCTAGATCAGGGTTCTCATAATACCCATCATAGGTGTGATAATTTGCTGGAGAGGTAGTTCAGTGGTTAAGATTGTTTTCTGCCTTTCCAGAGGACCCAAGTTCAGTTCCCAGCACTCATGTTGGGCACCTTACATTCACCTGTAATTCCACCTCCAGGGGCTCTGACACCCTTTTCTGCCCTCTGTGAGCACCTGCACTAATGTGCACATAACTCCTCCATGTATACACATCATATAATAACAAAAATCTCTTTTAAATTTTTGGAAGCAATAACTCAAGAAGCTGGAGGAAATGATTCATCCTCTTAACAATTTATTATGAAAAGTATAGGATACAAATTAACAGCCTGGTGAAGCAGCATGTGGGAGACGAGGAGCCTGAATGGGGGTACTCCAATCTCAAGTTTGGGGAGTATGCCACCCTCCCAATACATAAATGCTTTCATCAACCTAAAAACCTCGGCACCCCTCCCCCATCATTTAGGGCATTTGTGGAGATCTCATTACATAGGCATGAATACATTAATATTGGCTACTGGTGATCGACTCTGTCTCCTGCCTGTCTTGCTTCCTGAACTTTGTTCAGTCTGAAAATTCCACGCCTGTAATTAAGATTTGTTTTTTCCTAGTGGAACACCACCATGCTGAAGCTCTCTAGGGATTCTAGTTAGTAGTCCTCTCAGTAGCAATCTAAACAAACATCACCCTGGAGATTCAAAGCTCTTAGAAGTGTTTGGAACAAAGACCAGAAGTTATAATAGAAGATACTGCTCTCTCCCTGACACTCGGGAGATTACAAGGATTTTAATAATTTGATATGGAACTAGGGCAGAACAGATATATATTTTTTGTTATGCCACAAATACTAAGACTAGAAAAGACAGTTTGAAGTTATTTTATCAGTATTATCATTCCATAAATTTTAATGTATCATAACTGCACCTTATGTTTTGAAAGTGCATTTTTCAAATTTACATTTATATTGTTAGATATCCTCAACAAACTTTGCTATCAAAATTTGGAGATTTAAAGTTTTTATTGCTATCATCAGTGTATTTTGGAAAATGTTTTTCTCATTATTCTTAATTTCAATGCTAATGTGTATTTTTACAATAGGTTCTCAAAAAAATTTTCCTTTCACAGTATTCTTTGGTAGCATTTAAGATTACGAGGATTCTATGTCTGGAATTGCGGACTATAAATTAGACTCAGAGATGTACAGTTGTATTGATTCAATGTACATAGAAGCGTCATAGAAGTGAGTACTCATCATAGCGGTGAGTTTTGATTAGCAGGGCAAGGTAAGGCAGAGGGCACTTCTAGACAAACAGATGGCTTCTTAAAAGTGAGTGGAAGAACAGAGAAACAGATGTGATTTTTGAAAGGTAAATGAGCCGTGAGGAAAATAGGTATGATATACTATACATTGAAATAGTGTCTGCATCGGCATGGTGCTGACATCCTTCCTATTTTGAAACTTCTGGAAAAGTACACTTGCAATTTTTCTTTCTTTTTTTTTTTCTTTTTGAGGATTCATTTTTAAACATTTAAAAGATGAGAGAAAGATTTTCCTGCATTTGTTGATTTGCAAACACTTCAGTTCAACAATCCTTCTGGTACTGTAACACCTCTGCACAGTTTCAGAATTAACACACCCTTCAGAGATTACAGTTTCATGGGGGAAGGGGAATGGTAACAAGGAATAAATCCTAAGAAATAATTCTTTTCCTGTCTAAAATAACTTATTTTCAACTCAGTCGGATTTTTTGTTTGGAGTCATTAGCAACAGAAATGATATTTTATGATTTTATGTTTTATGTAGTCTCTTCACCTGAATTGCAACAAGTTTATGAGGACAAAAATATATCTATTTGCTAGTATAGAAAAGGGCTTGGTGTTAGGGTTAAAACGAGCCCTTGGAAATCCAGTCTGTACTCCCTAGATACTGATTAAACACTAATTACTTTTCCTTCCCTTGCTTAGTTACAGCTGTAATTACTTGTTGTTTCCCCATATGAAAGAACAAGAAAATATAGAATAGAGGGTAAAAGGATACACAAGGAAATAATTAGACAAATAGATCAAAAGAGGTAATCCAATGCCTTAAACCCTGTCTCCTCCAACACATAGTTACAGATCAATCAGGAGGCAAAAGAGACCTAAACCAAACATTCTGTGCCCTTTAAAGGCCTGCAAACACTGTGCCACTTGTTTATAAAATATAGGCACAACTACCACTACTTTAGATAACTATTATATTGATTAATTGATATCAAACTCATTCTCAGGAGTAGTTTCTTCAAATTTTTTAAATTTATATTGTTTTCTTAATACTTTTGAAAATATTGGCAATCTTATGGCTGAGTGTCAAATTGTTAGTATCTTTGGAAATTTTAGTGTTCTATTTGGGCAGAATTTCTAATCAGTGAACATATTATTGACTCTTTTAGTGAATTATTTATAACTTTGTGTTTCTGTTGCTCATGTTTGTACTTTTCCCTGTAGGTGGCACATCTGAGACTCAGAATGAGCAGGAAAACAAATCAAAGGCACTTCCCTCTCCATCACGTGAAAACTCTTCTCCTGAGGCCTCCACCATTCTGTATGTATATATTGTCCGTGTTAGTACTCCCTCAATATGCTGCTTAATAGATACCCTGTAATTAACTCCTTCTATAAAATTTAGCTTAAGATGTCTGTGTTTTATTAGTCAATTGAAACCTTCCAAATCAACTTTGAGGATATTTAAAGTATTAAAATTGCCTCCAGTGTCAGCTCAGTGTTGACAGCAGCTTGTAAAATATCAAGTGTGAGGAGCTTTGTCTAACCCCTTCTCACTGAGTGCAGTGAACATTCCTTAGCTTTCAAGAGACTTATACAAGAGTATATCTGATACCTGCCAAGCAATAAAGCCAGCACCAAAACCTTCAAATGCTGATGAAATTCCTAATTTGTTCTTCTAATCTATTTCCTTTCAGCTAAAATTAAACTGGCCCTTAAAAAATTCTCAAGAAAAAATTTTTTTCTGTTTTACTTTCATATCTTTTTGGCCATTGTAGATAAAAACTGTTACATGTAATTTGCATTTATAAGTAGTAGAGATGTCTTGTTGGGTTTTGTTTGTTTTTGTTTGGTTTAGTTTTTCAGACAAGGTCTCACTGGGTACCTGAGACTAGCCTTGAACTGTGACCTCAGCCTCCTAGTTAAGATGTCAATGTAGCTTGAGTCTCAAAACAATTTTATATGCTCATACAGAAATCTCAGTCCATGCTTTTTTATAACTCCCTAACTGTGGCTCACAAAACTTTGTTTTAGTTAGAAATGTTAACCCAATATACAGCATAAAATCTCATTAGTTTTAAAACACAGACCCAACCATTCTAATATAAGATGTTTCACAAAACTGCCCATAACTTTAGAAGATTATACTGTAGGTAGAGAATTAGTTTTTACGATAAATTAAATGTTTTAAACTCATTGTGCTAGTTTGTTTTTTAGAGTACAAAGTCTATAAATACACTGTGTACTCAAGGAAAGAGTCACTGGATGGAGGCTTTTTTTTTTTTTAAAGATGTACTTAGTTTATTTGAGTGTTCTATCTGCAGGTACACATGCATGCTAGATGAGGGCATCAGATCCCGTTATAGATCGTGAAGAGCCACCATGTGCATGCTGGGAATTGAACTCAGGTCCTCTGGAAGAGCAGCCAGTGCTCTTAACCACTGAGCTATCTCTCCAGCCCCATGCTAGTTGTTTTTTGTCCGCTTACACAAACCTAGACATGTTTGGGAAGAAGGAATCGTAATTCAGAAAATGCTGCCATATGATTGGTAAACCTGTAGGCCATTTTCTTAATGATTGATGTGGGTGGTGCTATCCTTGGGCAGGTGGTCCAGGGTTGTACAAGAAAGTAAACAGAGCGAGCCAGAAAGTAGCTTCCACCATGGCCTCTGCTTCAAGTTCCTGCCTGATTTCCCTCAGTGATGGACTGTGAGCTGAGACTTGCAAGCTAAAATAAACCCTTTCCTCCTCGAGTTGCTTTTGTTCTGAGTGTTTTATCACAGCAATAGAAACATGATACACGCTATGGAAACACATAGATGTCTGATCTTCATTATCTTTAGATGTTAGGTTCTTTTAATTATTTATTCTCCTTATTTAGAGACAGGGTCTCATGTAACCCACACAGGTCTTGAAATTGCTTTGATGATAAGAATGACCTTGGTCCTCCCTCTTTTCCTTCCCAAGTACTATGATTACAGGAGTACACCACTTAAAATGTAGGTTCTGTTCTTACAGTTCATTTTATTATGAACTGGAAGTCCATCTTCATCTTGATTTTTTTCCCCTTGTGGTGTTTTCTTGAGATACTCTGTAGCCCAGGTTTGCCTTGATTCTTGGGATCTTCCTGCTTTAGTCTCTCAAGTACTTGGCTAAGAGGCATGTGTTTTGGAATTTATTTTGATATATCAAGAAGACCTAACTTGAATTATTCAAATAAAGTACAATTATTCTAGATGTTCTTAATTAGTTCTTCCTTCTTTTTAAACTTCTGACTTAGTCATACCTGTGTTCTTATAAATATAGTTCACAGAATGCTCTCAAATATAATTTTTGAAACAATATTAACAGTTTTACAATTTTACACACTTCTCAAAGCAAATCCTCTCTCTCCATTTCTCCTTTTAAACATGCTCTGAATATTCTTTGATTTATCTTTTGAGGTTAAAGTTATTCTGATGCTCCCCAATCTCATTACTTTGTTCCCCAAAAATTCTGGTTTTCATATCTTTGAGAAAGATAATTTTGAGTCGGAAGACATATTGAGGAAATTGGAAGGGATAGAAAATTCATGAATGTTAGCTCTTCTTAATAGTCCGCTGTGCCTGTGGAAAGAGGATGGCGGTGTGTGTGCCCATCATCAGATACTAGAACTTAACATTCTCCGGGGTGTATGGAGCGTTCTCAGGAAGAATTTGGTGTTTGTTCTACTCTTTCTCTCTTTCTTTCTTTCTTTCTTTCTTTCTTTCTTTCTTTCTTTCTTTCTTTCTTTTCCTTCCTTCCTTCCTTCCTTCCTTCCTTCTTTCCTTCCTTCTTTTCTTTGTTTCATTTTGTTATTGTTTTTGGTTTTTCAAGACAAGATTTCTCTGTATAGCCTGGGCTGTCCTGGAACTCACTCTGTAGACCAGGCTGGCCTCGAACTCAGAAATCCGCCTGCCTCTGCCTCCCAAGTGCTGGAATTAAAGGCGTGCGCCACCACTGCCCGGCATTGTTTTTCTTTTCTTTCTTTTCTTTTTTTTTAAACCACTCTGGACATCTGACCAAAGACCTCATGCATGCTAAGATGCACTATATCCCTGAGCTGCAACCCAGATCCCTCAGGGTTTTTAAAAGAAAGCTTTATGCTCACTAGAAACTATGCCAGAGTTTAGTTATCTTCTAATTCAGAAGTTTGGATAATTTTGTTTACTGAGACTCCTATAGTTCTCAAAGAGGCATTTGGATTTTTATAGGAAAATACTTTCTTATATGTGTTTGGTTTTTTTTTTAATTAATCAAGTTTATTTTTTTTTAATGTGGGTTCCTCTTGACTAATAATTTTTCTTAAAGGAATGTAAGAATAATCAAGAACTTGGCTAAGGATTTATGTCTGAGGGTGTTCATCAAAACACACAGAGACAAATTGGAAATAGTTCCAAAATTAAAAGATGTGTTAGCAGTTGATAGTATCTTTTACCCATTAGACTGAGAACCAGATGAAATTGTGCACATAGCCAATTGAAGGAGCTTGTCCCCTAAGGAAAAAAAAATGGCAATATTAACAAAACCTGGTTTACCGTAGTCTAATGTGGTTAGCTAACAGGAATGGCAGGGATAGGAATACACCAGGAAGTTGCTACTCACAGCACTGTTCAGTGTGTGGAAGTTCTGTCTTTTTCACTGTCTATAACACACTAAAATACAGGTGTTTGGAGATTTTGAGACAAACGTAAATAAAATACCTGTTTTAATGTATAACAGACACTTCATAATATAAAACTTACGTTCTTTGTAGAAGTTTAAAAACTGGGTTCAAAGTACAAGCATTTTTTTCAGACTTCATCCCCTTAAATTGAATACCAGTCCTATTTTCTTTTGTTAGTTCTCAGAATGTCAGTATTATTGACAACTATCTTACATATTGTAGGAGGGGAAATCAGTTAAAAATTGCTAGATGCAAGCACTGTAAAGAATTCTTAACTAATTCTTCAGCTAGCCTTAGTTTTGCTAGGCAAAGGCTTAGCAAATCACACATGAAGAAATGTGTTCTCAGCCCTTAAACAAGTCCAGGCTCTCTGTGTGTCGTCAAAGCCTCGTAGACAGTCACAGCTCTCAGTAGGCTTCCTAGAATTGTCTTCATTACACCTGACCTCCAAATGCCTGCAGAGTATATATAAAGTATTTCAGAGTCTAGGTTATCTTACTGCAGTCCAAGAAATTAAGTAATTGTCACCTTAGTGTGCAATGTTTTTAAAAATGAAGTTAAACTATAAATTTGAGTTATAATAATTACTCTATTCTTATAGATCTACAGGAAAGAAAGAACTCCTCCCTGTGAACAGTAAAGCTGCAGAGCTAGGGAAGAAGGAACTCCCTTTGCATATATCTTTCCATCGCCATATCTGCTCCAGGGCTTGCCTAATGGAAACACCACTGTCCTTGAAGGGAGAAAACCCTCTGCAGCTACCAATCAGATGTCACTTCCAAAGACGACATGCAAAGACAAGCTCTCATTCTTCTGCCCTCCATGTGAATTATAAAACGCCCTGTGGACGGAGTCTACGAAACATGGAGGAAGTTTTCCATTACCTGCTTGAAACAGAGTGTAACTTTTTATTCACAGACAACTTCTCTTTCAACACTTATGTCCAGTTGACTCGGAATCACCCAAAGCAAAATGAAGTTGTTTCTAATGTGGATATTAGTAATGGAGTGGAATCAGTGTCCATTTCTTTCTGTAATGAAATTGACAATAGTAAACTTCCACAGTTTAAGTATAGAAAGACAGTGTGGCCCCGAGCATATCATCTGAACTTTTCCAAAATGTTTTCTGATTCATGTGACTGTTCTGAGGGCTGCATAGACATGTGAGTAGAAAAACATGGCGTTTCAAGCAATCTGCATATAGATACATTTGTCTAGTCTAATGTGTTCCAGTTTGCCATTCTGTCTGTCTAAAACCAGTAGACAAATTGTCTAAAATAGATGAAAAAAGATATCCTGTTTCATAACTGCCCAAAATGGTAATCTGCAATTTATTTTTTCTAAGGATGAGTGTATGTACTGCCATAGTTATAATAGCAATTACGGTGTCATTGATGAGTGTCACAGACACTCAGACACTTTAAATGCATTCTCTTCATCATCACAAAACCCTGTGTGTTAGGTATTATATTTCTCTCATACAAGTAAAGAAGTTAGTGTCGGAAATAAACTCAAAGAAGTCACAAAACAGACAAATTGGAAGGGCAATATTTGAACCTTTATTCCTAATTTCTCTGTTACTTGTTATATATTACTTTTACAAATTAAATGTCATTCCTGGCTGATTTTTTGGAATGTGTGTTCACAATCTGTGATAGAAGAACATAACTAAGACTATTGAGAAATGAGCATCTGCTGGGAAAACATTCATTTGGAAAAGTTAAAAACCCATAGAATTAAATGTCTGTTTGAAGGTCGGAGAGCTCAGTGTAGTTTATATTAGTTGTAATGAGTTCTTGGTTGGTATTATTTCTTAGTAGGCCCACTGTGTTTAGAGAAGTTTCTGTATAGTGCTTGAGCAAAACCTCTCTTATAAATAAACATTTACCATTTTTAATGTCATTTACACTTTTACCAAGTCTCATAATTTGATGTTTTGTTTTTATTCTCACTTCTCTATCCCCACTGCCTTTTTTTTTTTTTTTTAGAAAAAAATGTGCATGTCTTCAGTTGACAGCACAGAATGCCAAAGCGTGTCCCTTGTCACCTGATGGAGAATGTACTGGATATAAATATAAAAGACTGCAGAGACTCGTGCCTTCTGGGTAAAGAACCTTAGCATTTGTTGCAGGTTGTTTGTATCTATGAAGGATGTTACATTTCTTACATTATGTTCATGGGGGTGCAGTACCCGTGCCTGTGTGTGCACACATGGAAGCCAGGTGTCTTCCTCAGTCACTATTCACCTTGTTTGTTTTTTTCAGATAAAGTCTCACTGAGCCTGGAGCTTCCCTCGTTGGCTAGACTGTCTCTGCTGTCCACTGAGGCTGGAGCCACATATGTGCTCCACCATGTCCAGCTTTTATGTGAACTCTAGGGATCCGAACTCAGGTCCTCATGCTTGCATGACAAGCATTTTACCCACTGATCCATTCCCCCAGCCCCCGAGAGGACTTTTTCATTATGGTCTACAGTCTTACAGGTTTCATTTATATTTTTTTCTAATACTGACCATCTAAATTATTAAGAAATAATAACATGACCATTGTATATTAGGAATGGAAGTCAGTGACCACACACACATTAGAGTATATTTAAGTAATCACTCATCTGCTTCAAGTCTGGCTCTTCAGGAAATGAGTGACTCTGAGTAGCCATTTTCCCATTAAAACGTGGCTGTAGCACATGGGAGGCAGAGGCTAAATGAGTGATACTGAGTTGAAGACCAGCCTGAGCTACATGGAGAAGCTGTTTCCAAAACAAATGAAGGGGCTGAGGAGCTTACTCAGTATGAAAGAGCATGAGGACCTGCATTCTAATCCCCAGAACCTATGTAAAAAGCTACACATGCCTGTTAGCATAGTGCTATTAGAGGCTGAAGATATACAATCCCTGGGGCTTGCCTTCAGGCTCAGTGAAGGAAGGGATCCTTCTCAAGGGAATACAGCAGAGACTGGTAGAGCAGACACCTGACTTTCTCTGGCATCCGTGTGTGTGTGTGTGTGTGTGTGTGTGTGTGTGTGTGTGTATGTGTGTGTGTGTGCATGTGCAACACATGCATGAGCATGATTCCCCCTCACTAATAATATTAAAGATATATACTCATTAAAAGAAAAAGTGATTGAAAGAAACTAACTTGACAGTTAATAATTTTCAGCTTATCGATTAATACTAAGAAATAGCACCAATAGAACTAGAATTAGAAGAGTTTGATCCTAGACATTTCCTTTCCATATTTTAAAAGCTAACGTTATTGTGTACTGAACACTAGGACACATATCTTGTAAATATTGACATGTGGATGTTAATGAAACAGCCCCGTCAGTTAAGCTCTGTTATGTAAATTTCTTGATTGAGGTTGGAAAGATGGCTCAGTGCTTTCTGTTCTTCTAGAGGACTCAGGTTCAAATCCCAACACCCACATGAGTGTTGACATTCAGTTGTAACTCTAGTCTCAGGGATTCAGTGCCCTCTTCTGGTTTCCATGGGCACCAGGAATGCACATGGTACAGTTATATATACAGGCAAAACACTAATACACAAAACATAATTAAAAATAAATTCCATTTTAAAAGTAGAAACTGTAGCTTGTCAACCCAGACAATCGAAGCTTATACAGTCACATGTCCCTCAGTTTCATTATTAGTTCAGTGACGTAGCAATATATACTTCATTTTGCTTTTTAGACTAATTGATACCATCTCATATGTATTATTGCCAGTATTTATGAATGCAACCTGTTCTGCAAGTGTAGTCGACAGATGTGTCAAAACCGAGTTGTCCAGCATGGTCCCCAGGTGAGGCTACAGGTGTTCAAAAGTGAGAAGAAGGGCTGGGGAGTACGCTGCCTGGATGACATTGACAAAGGGACATTTGTGTGCATTTATTCAGGTAAAGCAAAGGTTTGTTTTTTAAAGATTTATTTCCTATAAGTAGGATCTCTATACATCTGAATATAAATTGTCCTAGTCAGAGCCATTGGCATGCAGAACAAGATGTAGGGGCAGTACAAAAGGAGACAGACCTTGGGTCCAGAAGGGCCGAGATGCCATAAGGTACCAGGTGCTTCAGAAAGCCCTATTTCACCAGGGCTCGAGACTTAAATGGCACATTGTCTCCACAGCTACAGATGCTCTGGAGTAAGGGAAGAAAACTTCTAAATAAAAAACCTAATGACCCACTTACTCCTTAATATTTTGAACTGACTAGAATTTCACAAGTTAGTATTGTAATGTTGATTCAGACAGTAACTTTAAGCATCTCACTTAGTTTCAGGAACTCCAGAATATTGGTCATGCTTGAATCTGTCACATACCACTTACATACACATATACTACCCAGCCTGCCTAGACATTCTTTCTGTTTGTCAGACTAGCCCTTTAGTGAAGCTGTCTGCTCACATTAAGTGGTGCCCAGGAAGCATCGTTGGCAGTCTCTGCAGAGCCAGAACATGACCTAAGGCTGACCTAGAAAGATGAGTGGCGATACCTAACCACCGATTCTAGCTTGACAAGTATAATTTTGACTCTTGAAAGAAGATGGATTAAATGAGACAGATTTTACTATTAAACTGAGTTTGAACGTAATAGCTGATCGAGATCACAAGTTTTAAATAGGTCACTTTTCAGAAGACTTCAAGATTTCAAACTTAATAAAACAAGTCTTATCTAGAGTGCTTTTTTGTTTTTACATTACTGTGGATCTTTATGAAATATCAAAATGGACTGGTGCTTCTTTCAAATAGCTCGTATCTATTATGAATACAAGGCAGGAAGTCTCCCGTTGGTCTCTTTTTAGTGTCTTGGAATGGTTTTCTTTGATATATTCTAGAGTTTGTAGGGTAAGTTTATCTCTCTAGAAACAAGGTGCTCCTAGCACAGAGAAGACAGATGGCAACTTGTTGGTAGTTTCCTGCTTTGAACACTATGTGTTTTATTTTAGGAAAGTTAATGAGCAGAGCCACTCCTGAGAAAACTAATATTGGTGAAAATGGAAGAAAGCAACAGCACATTGTGAAAAATTCATTTTCCAAAAAGCGGAAAATAGAAGTTGTATGTTCAGATTGTGAAACACACTGTGAAAGTCCTAAAACTGAGGGATGTCCTCCTGAGATTAGTAGTGATCTCAAAGAGCCTGTTGCGTAAGTAAAAACTCAGAAATGTTTGGGGTTTGTCCCCTCTGTGTCTCTCTCTTTCTTATCACCATTCCTCTCCTAAACATCATCTTGCCTCACAGTTTAAGTTTAACACTTCTAGAAACCCAGCATTCTTACTTAATATCTAGCCAGCATATTTCCTCTGTGCCCCATTTCTGAGTTCACTGTGGATAACTTTCATCTGATTCTTTATGAATGCTATACATTTTAATTTTCTATATCACTATTCTATTTGGAAAGTTTTATTAGAGTCCCTTAATGTTTAAAAACACATTTTAAAATTATTGATATCTAATGATTGCTTTTTTCTTCCTTCATTAAGTAGCATAGATATTATATAAATTAATTTAATATTTTAATTTTAAACTTATGTGTATGGGTGTTTTGCCTTATCACTTGTTATGTTATCACTTGTGTGCCTGGTGCCCTCAGGGGCCAGAAGTGGATTTTGAATCCCCTGGAACTGGAGTTATAGATGATTTTGAGCTGCCCTGTGGGTGCCGGGAATTGAACCATGTCCTCTGGAAGAGCAGCTAGTACTCTTAACCACTGAGCCATTTCTCCAGTCCCTAGATTAATTTCTAACAATAATGGAAGTTTACGAAGTAATGATATTACCTATATTTAAGGTCTAATAAAATGAGCTTTTGGTGATACACGGAATAACTTTTCTCTTCCATTTCAGGGAAATGAACTATAGAAATATTTCAAGAACTCAGCGTCATTCAGTCATTGGAAGACCTAAATCCAAGAGAGCTCTTTTTCATTACAATGAGGAAAACATGGTAAAAATCACAAAGTGAAACTGAGCTCACCTGCAATGTTAGCACTTTGGGGGGGGGCGAGGGGCAATTCAGGAGAATCATGAGTTTGAAGTCAGCTTGGGCTACATAGCAAGACACTATCTTGAAAAACGAGAGAGATGCCTCTCCAAGTACATCAACCATTGCCTTACCTTTCTAGCTTTTACTGAAATATTTATGCTACATAATACTATGTAGGATCTATTTTGTTGTTTTGAACATACAGGCTATGTGCAAAAGTCTGAGTTACAAATTTATGTTTTTAGCACAGATAATATCTTGACAGTTTTGTAGTTGTAGTTTACTAATGTGCCTAGAAATAGTTTAAAATCTGTCTCTGTCTACACTGTGTTGGCCCCACTTATGCTAGGGCTCCTTATGGTACCAGCTTTGTGGCTTTTCACATCTCACCAGCTATATGTGACCTATAAAGAGTGATGCGTGGTGAAGAGCCCCAGCTGCTAAGGACTTTTTCCTGGCTTAGAAAGCACAGCTGCCTTTCTTATTCTCTTTCAAGGGATTTGTTGGCCCAGATTCTGCTGCCCTAGAAGATAAGACCGGATTTAAACTAGCTCAAGGAGACTTGAACTCTAAAGCTAGGAGAGCTCACGGTAGGCTTCATTTCTTTATGGTTGCCTACCTCCCTGCCGTTTTGTCCCTTTATTTAAATCTACAGCTCCTTTCCATAGACTTCATAACAAATGGATGGGTTTATCAAGTGGACATTAGTAGACTGTACTCCAAATCTGGCCTGCCAAATGTTAGTTGTGATTGATGAAAGCATGCTTTTTATGTTTTTAAATAGTTGAGAAAAAAATCAGACAGTGCATAGTATTTCTTGACACTTGAGAATTAGGTGAGCTTACGAGTGTCCATAAATAAAGTTTTAGTGGACTATAAGCTGTAGGCATTGATTTACAGGTTTCTGTTTTCCCTCTACATGAGCATAATTGAATAGTCACAACAGAGACCATGTAACTGCTAAATTCTTGGTGATTAGTCCAAAATTTATAGGAGTTTGCAGACTTCTGGTCTGATTTCAGCAGAGACCTACTGCATGGAAGAGGGGTTGAGTGGACGGCTCTGAATGCACGGTCCACAGCTGTTGTCTGTGGCTTTGGAAGTGCTATCCAAAGCAGCCACATTTCAGATCTTCCATTTGGACTCTTAAAGATACATCACTCTAGCAGTTCAGTCCACACCACTGTATAGGATGCTCAGTGAATGCTAGCAAGGGAATCAACTCTCCCTCCACAGAGTACTCTTTCAGAGTACAGTCTCTGCATGATAAATGTTACTGCTGGGGCAGACCTGGGCTTCTGAATTTCTGTATTTCAACAGATCCCTCAGTAGAGAGATATGAATGACAGATGTCCTGTTCAGGGAACAGGCCTGCCACTACAGCCTCTTTCATATCCTTTATCTACAACCTAAACTCCCCAACTAGTGTTCAAGGATAGATTGGTGGAGGTATGGCTGCTCCTTGCTGGGAAAGTTCTATTAAGAATGAACATTTTAGTAATAGTTCTTTTACCCTTTAATGCACATGAGCCGTAATGAGTATGGTTGCTCTGGCTCATTCACTATTTGCATCATTTGCTAAGTATATTTTGCAGGCAGTCCAAATAACAATATCATATAGCTAGAAGAAAGTATCAGAAATCTTTGACTAACGATCCATATGACAATGATTAAACCAGAAGCCTTTATTTTTAGGAAATATAATTCCTTTCTAAAAATATTTTTAAGTAACAGTTACATATATTTATTAGTATAGTGTGGCATTCAGTATATACTGTATAATGATCATTTACCTCAGGGATTTGTCATTTCTTCCCTATTGGCTATTTGGAAATATGCCATTAATTATTGCAACCACTGTTATCTTACTGTGCTGTCTGGAACTTTAGAAGTTACACCTCCTAACAACTGCACTCATACACTTATGAGCAACCTCATTCTGCTCCCTCTTCCTCATAGTTCCACTGTTCTGCCCCACTTCTATCACAGTAGCTTTTTTTTTTTTAAAGAAAAAAGAAAAAAATACCTTCAAAGATTTTTGCTTCCCCCTCTTTTAAAAAAAATATTTACCTGTTTATTTAAAGGAAAAGAATGTTCATGTATGTGTGGCATGGCATGCCAAGATCAGAGGACAGCTTTTGGGAATCTGTTCTTTCCTTCCACCATATGGAGTGCCAAGGATTGAACTCAGAACTTCAAGCTTGGCAGCAAATATTTTTACCCACTGTATCATATCGTCTGCCTAGGATCAACTTTCTAACTGAAGTATAATTGGTGGGGGAAGCACTGGATTATATTGCATGAGTGGGTTGTTTTTTCTTTTAAGTAGATGCATTTACTTATTCTATCTGACATGAATTCATAGCTTGTATGTTCACAAGTGGTTAATTCCACTATGGATGAAAAACCTGACTAAACAGCTCATCACCTTTATTGGTTTATAAAAGTACAGTTTTTGACTGGCCACTTAGTAAAGGCACCAAACATTAATATATATCATAAGCCCTTGGAAATGCAGTTGTTTTTGCTGGAGTTTAGGGAAAAAATAACTCCTGACAGTTATCTTAGGACTGTGACATGTTAAAGGGCTAGCTACTCTCTTTGTTACATATATCTAGAATATACTTAAATGTAGATTCCAGAGTTGATGAAAAGAAAGTTACTTTTTTTGGATTTGCTATTAAATACATTAATGAGAAAGCAACATGTAGATTGATTAAAAGAGGTGATGCCGCAGTAAAAAGGCAGGCTTTAGAAGGTGGGCACATAGTGTGTGTCCAGCAGTTCCCTGTAGGAGGTAAATCTTCTAAGTTCTCTAGACTCAATGTTTTCATTTATAAAGTTCAAGTAATACTGCCTACATTAACATGTGTTAAAGATTAGTGCTAATTAAAGCAACTGTCATCTAACTTAATCTTAGCACTATTACTCAGACAATTATATGTCCTGACAATTCCTTCCTAACAATGTCTACTAGAGGACTTAAGTTCAAATCAAGTTGGAGATTCTGAAGACACACAGCTGACTGAATCAGATGTGATAGATATAACTACAAGTAGAGAAGACACTGCCCCAGTACACAGGTGTAAGCACTCAGCCATATTGAGTAGTAAGAACATTAAACAGGTGCTTGAAGTCCCAGTAAAAAAGTCCCAAGAGGAAGAGCCTGCAGCCTCTCAAAGCCAGCAGGTCTTGTGTGATGAGGAGCTGCCAAGTGAAAAGACAAAGATTCCATCTGCTTCCCTGATGCAGCTCAGTAAGGAGAGTCTGTTTCTATTGGATGCTTCAAAAGAAGGAAATGTGGGCCGTTTCCTCAATGTGAGTATCAGGGTTGAGATTCCTATTTTTAAGCACTCTTTTCTTTAAAATTTATCAGGAAGATAAGATGAATAGATTCTAAAGACAGAACAAACTACCCGAGTCAGTCCTCTGTGTATCTGTGTGTGCTGTTTCCTGATGTTTAATTCCTGCTGCTAATATGAGAATGACAATTTGGGTTTTTTTTGTTGTTGTTTTTTGAGGATCATAGTAATTAATATAAATTGATTTGCGTTAGAAACCTTAAGAAATGCTGGGCGTGGTGACTCATGCCTGTAATCCCAGCACTTCTCAGGCTGAGGCAGATGGGTTTCGTAAGTCATAGACCAGCCTGGGCTATAATGTGAGAACCTGTCTTTAAAACACAAAACAAAAACAAACAAATAAAAAAAAAATCCATGAAACCAAAGAATGTCAATACGTCAAGAAGTTTACAGGGATGAGAGAATGACTCATTAAAGTGCTTGACAAGCTTGACAAGCTATCCTGAGGACCTGAGTCTGGATCCCTGCACCCACATTTAAAGCTAGTGTGGCTGTATGCATGCCTATAACCCCAGCACTCTCATGGATGGAGATAGAAGGCTGGTTAGGCCCAGTTTCAGTGAGACATGCTGTCTCAAAGGATTATGGTAAAACATGATAGAGCTGAGTACCCAGCATTCTCCTCTGACTTCCTCATGCACATACATAGACATGTGCATGTACACAATAACACACACACACATACACGTGTACACCAGGCATTATGACACACACTTGTAATCCTATTACTGGGGAAAAGACAAGAAGATTCTGGGGCATACTGGATTGTCTAGCCGATCATCAAGCTCCAGGTTCAATGAGACTTTGTCTCACAAAATAGAGTTATAAAGTATGAAAAATTAAGGTGAAAAGCAATCCAGACATCTGTCTGACACTTGACTTCCAGTTTCCACAGACACATGCAGATATGCATGCATGCCTTCACATGCACATGTGTGCACAAAATACACACTGTTTACAAATTCAGTTGTATAAGTTGCAAAAAAATGGAATAGGAAATAGTCAGCATTGAAGCTGAATGCTGGGCATGTGTGAGGGTACTGTAGATAGAGGCTTGGTGTCTCTGTGAGTCTTGTGATGCTAATAACCGTCAGTATTGAGAAAACAGGGCAGCTAAGAATACTGGAATGGAGGAATTGAGCGTACCATTATGTTCTGAGCCTTGGAAAGAGGTTATGTGGCTGAGTTGAGTGAACTCAACTACTCATACATTCTCCTTTCAAAGTGCTGATTTGGGTTAGGATATAAGGATTACATTGCATATACTCTTTGTGTTAAACTCTCTCAACACTTTTATTTGTTTTCAGGGCCTTCACCATTTATTTATTTATTTATTTATTTATTTATTTATTTATTTATTTTACATTTTTGAGACAGTATCTTTTCTGTGTAGCCCTGACTGTCCTGAAACTCACTACTCAGTTAAAACCTTCTCTTGAAAAGTATTATGCTGCCAATTTCCCTGACCCCATTCTATGGCTCTTGTTTATTCTTGCTCTTAAAAAAAAAAAAAAAAAAAGCTCTGCAAATACAAGTAAATACATGTGTGGTGTTGGTTCTTTTTATATAGCTTATTCACTTTGTGAGTGTATGAGTACATGGGTAGCGGCCTACCTGCACATGTGTGTCTGTGTATTTGGGAGCCTGAGGTCAATCATGGGTGTTGTTCTTTCAATGCTATTCACTTTGGGTTTTTTTAAAACAAGGTTATCCATTGGCCTGGAGTTCACTAATCAAGCTGGGCTGTCTGGCCAGCAAGCCCCAGGGATCCTCCTGCCTCTACTGCTCTGGTCCTAATATGAACATCTGCTACCATATCTGAGTCTTTCACGTGGGGTCTGGATATTGAGCTCAGGTCTACATGTTTGAATAACAAGTACGTTAGTGACTGAGCTATCTCTTATATTCACTTTTGAGCTGACAATACTCTCCTGAGTTTATTCCGTATCAGTACACAGGGGATGCTGGTCTCCTATTTTATACTCATTTATTTTGTATGTGGGTGAGGACGATGCACACATGCCACATGTGTGTGTGGAGGCTAGGGAGTAACTTCGAGACTTGCTTCTCCCCTTTTTACCTTGTAAGTTCAAACTCAGGTTGTCCGGCTTGTTGGTAAATGGCTCTCCCCACTGAGCCATCTCACTGATTCTTCTTCTTAGCATGTGTCTCTTTATATGCTGCATAGAATTCCACTGTGGTAATTTTAACTAGTTCCCAAGAGGCAGGAATTAACATTATTTCCAAGTGTCTCCTGTTTAAAAACCAATGTTTATTAACAATCTTACACATAGATATCTATGCAGATGGTTCTATACAAAACATTTTTAATACAGTGTTGATGAGTTGAAAGATAAGTGTATTTATAATAACATTAAGTACTGACAAAGAATCTCTATTTGGGGGTTCTATTTTGTATTTCTATTAGCATGATGTCTGAACGGCTATACTGAATTGGTTCCTGCTATTAACTACACTGCTAAAACCTGATAGATTGTGTATTACTTAAACTGAGAAAGACAAAAGTCAGTGAGATGTGTAGGAAACGAGGATATTCACATACTTTCTAAATTGTATGCTGTGTCTTACCTCTTGTTTAATTTTTTTTTTTTAACAGCATAGTTGCTGCCCGAATCTCTGGGTGCAGAATGTTTTTGTAGAAACACATGACAGGAATTTTCCATTGGTGGCCTTCTTCACCAACAGGTTTGTGATTTATTTTGCTTATACAATTTAATGTTGCAGCTAAAATAGTAAATATGAAAAAAAATATGAAAAGATGCAGCATAGCCCCAAACGTCTGGTATCATAAAATAGTCAGTTTACCTAAACTGTTAACTATTCAGAAAAAATTAAGTGGTTTGGATTTCTATTCTTAATCTCATTTAAAATTAATTTCCTAAGGAACTGAAGACATCAGATTACATAATTCAGTTCAGGAAACATGATTAACAGAATTAGTTTTTATTGTGCATACTCATGAAAAATATAGTATAAAAACAAACTTTTCAATATATAGTTTTATAATTTGCTTACTTCTAAATATAAACATTTTCTTTTTACACTAGTTAATTGTATATGTTGTAGAAAGATTCATTTAGCTTTTGGGTTTTTTTTTTTTTTTTTTTTTTTATTTATTTTATTGATGAGTACACTGTCGCTGTCTTCGGATACACCAGAAGAGGGCATCCAATCTCATTACGGATGGTTATGAGCCACCATGTGGTTGCTGGGATTTGAACTCAGGACCTCTGGAAGAGCAGTCAGTGCTCTTAACCGCTGAGCCATCTCTCCAGCCCTGGGGTTTTTTTTATAACAGTGTTTTGCCATTTACTCTTTGCTGACTTGGTACTTAGTACATAACCCAGAACTTTTTTGTTGTTGTTGACTTGCTTTTTATTTGTTTGTTTTCAAGACCGGGTTTCTTTGTAGACTTGGCCTTGAACCCAGATCCTCCTGTCTCTGCCTCCCAAGTGCTGGGTTTAAAAGCATGTACTACTACTACCACCAGACTGGCCATGAACTCTTAGTCCTCCTACCTTAGGCTCCAGAGTGCTGGGATTGCTAGTGTGTACTGCCAGGTGTGGCTAAATGATTAGCTTTATAACTTGCTTCTCTGTACCCTACTAACCATCAAGCAAGTAATCCGTTCTATTTTCTCCTACCTGTTTCTCTCAGTTGCTTCTTCTTAACTGTGGGTCCCCTTGCACAGACCCCTGTTACTTTTCTGATTATGTAGTTTTTTGTTATATTTTGGTTTTGTTTTTGTTCTTGTTTTTCATTTGTTTGGGGTTTTGTTTGTTTGTTTTGAGATAGGATCTTACTTTGTAGTTCTGGCTGACCTGGAACTCACAGAGATCCACCTACCTCTGCTTCCCAAGTGTTGAGATTGAAGGCCTCACCTAGACCTTTACTTAACTTTTTTTTAGGATAATGTTTGTTTTGTTTTTTTTTATCTACTTCAGATTTACTCCCAGTCTCACATAAGGTTTTACTAATCTTTAGTATTATTAACAAGTATTAGTAAGTAAATGTAAGAGAGTTGTATTAATGAAGAAACAATGGGTACAGACATGTGTTAGCACTTTTAAAAGTGAAATAGCTGTAGGATGAGGATGTTAGAACACCCTATACACACAAAGCAGTGGCTTTGACCTCCAGCACAGCCAGAAAGAGTGCATGAGTATTGCAAAAGTTAAGGTATAGTCAGTGCTTTGAGACAGCATGCCAGGCATTGCTATGGAACTGTATGCATTAAGACAAATGACAAGTGATTGACTTTGTTTTAGGACACTGGTCATCAAATACATATGGCAACTATACTTGAATTTCTAGGAAAGGGCAAATGCCAACTATTATGAAAGAGGTTGATGTTATGAAATCTTGTTTTATCACATGATCATCATAGCCAGATGGAAAGGAAACCAGTGGAGCTGACCCTGTACCTACACAGGGAACACGGCTTGGACAACTAGGTGCCACGTCATTCAGGCCCACAGTAGTTTTTGCATACTCCATGTTCACAGTTGCATCCATAGAAGGAAGGTAGACAGGTACCTCTAGTCAGACAGCACGTTTCATTTAACAGCTTTCTGCAGGTTCCTCCTGGGTCTAAACTGAGTTGTCTCTCTTTCTCTCTCTTTTTTTCATAATTTATTTTATTTTTAAAATTCACATTATATCCCCATTGCAGCTACCCTCCCTCCTCTCCTCCCAGTCCTACCCCTCCATATTCATTTCCCCATTACTACCTCCCCTTTTCTAAGGAGAAGGGGAGGCCCTCCTTAGGTACTGCCCTACCCTGGGGCATCTAGTTCCAGAAGGACTAAGCACCTCCTCTTCCACTGATGCCCAACCAGGCAGTCCAGGTAGGGAAAGGGGATGATACGACTGAAGGCAACAAAGTTAGATGTTCCAATTGTTAGGACACCCACATGAAGACCAAGCTGCGCATCTGCTACAAGTGTGTGCGTGCGTGTGTGTGTGTGTGTGTGTGTGTGTGTGTGTGTGTGTGTGT